AGTATTGAATCAATATCAGAACAACATACATTTAAATTGACTTTATATAATATGAGCTTCATACAATGTAATATGCGGAGACAAAAAAGATATCTTTTATGCATAAACAACTTTTTTCCCGATCGATTTTATTCTTGCTCGTCATATCCCTAGACTTATACAAGCAAGTTTCCTACAAGAAAATTTTCTTTGACATTTGTTACTCTCTTCCTTTCTTCCAATAAAAATAATGTTGCATATATTTATATTCTATACTCGACAATATAAAGAAGAATATTTTAATTCGTAAGCTTGTTAATATACCTACGTTTTTCTGCAAATCATTCATAATATCGGTAATAGTTAATATCATGCGAACGACTTCAAATACAATTAACACATCCGTTTTATGGTTTCTTCGGTTGTTATCAAGACAAGGAAGGAGAATTATATGTGTTACGAAAAGAGAGATGTGTAATGTTTGTTTTATTTAAAAAAACGATGCAACTTTTGTTCACACTTTCCTTCTTTCTTTTTTTTTGTTTATTATTTCGGCAAGCACGCAAGGTAAGTTCGTATTTCGCGATTACATTTGAGAAATGGCTGTATACGTGACGAGCAGTTATTGCCACCGCGCGTGTCAAACGAATTCTATTTAATCAAGTGATTCTGCTTGTCGCTCTCGGAAATTTTTCAGCAATCACATTTTTTTTAGCGGTTTTTGTATTCAAACATCTCGGATCGTTACAAGCACATTACTCTCGTATCTACATCATATTTCACAAAAATTTCAGGTTATATAACATTTAATTTGACTTATAATCGCTGGCACTGAGTCGCGTAGAAATGTTCTCGACAAGCATTGATGTCACCGATTGACGAGAACGATTATATAACGATTTAATGACGAACAACTTTTTAATAGTAAAATTTTGAGCTACGAAATAATGGCCTAATGGCACTGTGCGTAATTAAGATGAAGATAATGTGTTTTAAACGACTAAAATTCACATTTATGTTAAGCACATTTCTGGAATTTTACCGAGACAGATTACTGATGCGTTCTCTGTCATTTTACAGACAAGATATAGCTTTTTTCAAAACATCCAATATTATCAGTAACAAGACATATTATACAGAATGTATTAAGAAACATCATATGTGCAAGGAAAATATTTACACTTTATGTTAATGATTAATAGTTAATTATAATTAAATTAATTAGCAAATTGATATTTTTAATATCTGTTGTTGTCATTTTTGTGTGATTTTTTAAAAGATATACATATATTAGCGAAATAACGGGGGAAAATATTTTTGGTATGTCATTAATAAACTTTACTCATTATGCTCTTCTGGAATTAAATAAAATTAACGGCGAAAGAGATGTCACGTACGTTTCACTCATGGCTAATCATTCAGAAAAAACGACCTTAATGACATCGCGGCATCGCTGTATTTTGAACATACGATGCATTTACATATGCATATGAGCGGTTCTATCAAACACGTGTCCGGCACATGTTGTTAAGCCAATCCCTTTATCATAAACATTATCAATGTTATCCATCGCGTAGCAAATGAGCGATACACGCAGATCGTCGTGTACTGGGCAATAATTTTTAACAGCGATATTCCAAGCACACAGCGGCCGTGCGCGCCGTTACGTTTAAAATCGACGTATCGACGACCTTATTTCTTTAAAACGCGTGCGAGCAAGCATTGACCGAATACCATTTCTGTGCTAGCGGGTTTTACGTGCTCGGCTACTGTGATTTGTGCGAGTCGCGTTTTCTGTACGGTTGAAAAAATTTGGGACGCTTCCGTAGCTCAGTTTTGCTAACTGACAATGCTAATTTATTGACTAGTTTCGAAACATGCGGCTAGTTAATTTGCCTGAGCCTACTGACAATTCTGATTAATACCTGAATGATAGTATAATTAATGTATGGCCAGTCTTCCTATTTTTCAGCACAATTGTTTACCTAATTTTTGCTCAAGAATTTGTTCTTTTCTCTTTCTATATAACTAAGCTATAATATATCGAAAGCGCAGCACACATGAGTCGAAAGTTAAAAGTTGCACAACGATCAGCCGGCCGGAATAGCGCAATTTCTTACATAGCATACTGACAATACAGATGTTTAGAAGCGCGATCCAATTTCGTGAACTATTCTGTATCAAAAATACATGGCGAAATCTTAATTCTTCAATACATTCTGATGTTCTTCGACAAATTCATATCACGAAACTGTTATGTTTTGCAATGATCGCGTAATCGCGACGCCGACAGCCGGTCACATGTTCGAGTTTAAAAATACTATCACTATAATTTATGCAACTTGTTAGCGAAAGTAAAAGTAGGTCTCTCTTCTTAAAACTTTTCCATATATATAATCAATTATAATTAATAAAAAATTTGGGAAAATGAATATATAACTTGTAGCAAATAAAATATCAAAATTCTTGTGTAATTTAACTAAATTATAAATAGCATACTGCTAAAAAACAAAATGTAAGATATCTACTTTTGATAAACGATGAACTGACAAATAAGCGGAAAAATAACTCTTGCCAGAACTCCACGCGCCTATTACCAGTTCTACCTGTCAGCCGCCAGCAACTTGACAGCTCCAGTGTCTACGTTTGACGTAGACCGCAAGAAATCATATCTATATGTACGCAGCATAATTTATATGCAACATACTCAGCATATTAAAGCGAGCTAACGTTAAAAATCGTAACGAGGAAACAGCGGATTTAGAGACTCACTTGATCAGAATCCTCCAGAAGCAGCCAAAGCTGGAGCCGTTCGGCACTTCGCTCGCGTACGATATAGTCATTTCCTGTCTGACCGCGCGCGCGCACCTCTCCTTCCTGAGTCGCTACCCTCTTCTTCCTCCCCCGTTGCCGTCGCTTCCTCTTTTACGGATGACTTGGTTCCTCGCACCGTGTTGTTGGTGTTTCCGGTGGAGATGCTGCACACTCGCGCACATGCGGCCGGGTCGCCGATATTATTTCCGATCGATCTGATCTGTTTGATGATCTCTTTGAAGGTACACCGGGAGATCAGCACCGGGATCTATCTGGTCGCTCGTGATGGGCTCACCATCGGGAAGCTCTTGTATCACGCGAATGAACGAAACCAGCTGACCGGACAGATCGACTGTCTACTGACTGAGCTCCACTGGACGGGCGGCGAGACCAACGGAGAATGGGGCCCGGCTGTGTGCCACCTCCACCTGGGAGCCAGGGATGTGAACGTCACCTGCGGAACCCATCTCGAGTTGAACCTGATTGGAGCAAGTGTTTAAATTAGAGTTGAGTTTAAATTAGATGACGAAAAGCAAGCAACGAAATGGTTAAACGTACTTTTGTGTCTTTGCAAAATACTGTCTTAGAAATATATCTGTTGATAAGATAATTCTAGAATAGCAAACTTGCACAAATCTTGAATTTGCATTAAATATAGGAAAATTAAGTGTAAAGTATAAATATAAATAATTATTAAGAACTTACAAACTCTTCGAGGTCGCGCAAGTGTGTTACTCTTTCAAATATTTATCTTTTTAATGTTTTATTCTTAGAGATGAATACATGCATGCATAAAATTAAATGCAGCGTCAAAAAAGCCACTAAGAGGTAATCAAATAAAACATTAAACATGTAACATCAATACATTCTCTTTTGCGAGGATATCGCGATTGAGAAATGAAGGTATTATGAAGATTAATGTCATATTAAATATCAATGATGGATGTTTTAAATTATATTAATCATAATTTAGTGGATAGACAACAAACGTTGAATGACAGTTTCGAAGCACACACATATTATACTTTAAAAATATTAACTAAACGATACGTCACTTCGTCGAATTGGATATTAATTTCAAAATCATATCAGATTAACCCCCGGTCACGTAGTTGTCTGGAGTCGACTAAGAATTTATGTAACTCTATCGCAAGCACTTGTGACATGTAAGGTTTATGCAGAATTGCTCTTTCAAAATCGATGACATGTCTTTCAAGTGGATTTGTAGCGGGTAAAAGGAGAACAGTTCGCTGCTTGAGTCTACGACGATATTACATATATATCGCAATGATTTTCTACCTACATTTCATTACTCTTTACGCGCTAATGATGATTCATTCCTCATTTTTCTTTATGTCATCATCGTTATAACCGTTTGTATTATTAGAATACCTAATTATAGAATGCATAATTTTTATGATAAATCTAAATGTCTCGTAACACGATACTTTATTACTCCAAGGATAGACCGGACTCTTTTACGGTCCTGTGTCGGGCCTGTTCAGATGCAGGTGAATATTACACAGGTCGAGCACTTCAAAACGCCATCTTGCACACGGTTTTCACACTCTTCTCTCACCTTGCCGTGGCCTAGCCTACGGCGTAATCGCGGCCTTCTAGTACCATCCACCGGTCACCTTTCGCTCGTTCACGCGTCGTGGGAATACGAAATGATGACGTGTACTCTTACTGCCTCCCAGAAGTGTCAAATAATTTTCATACGTAACAGGAAAATCCCAAAAATATGCAACTTGACTTTACCGAAACGCTTTACTCAGAAAAAAACACGAAATTCGAGTTGCGCAAATGAAATGTCATGCCAGATATTATTAAGTGCAAAATATGTCATTTATGTCATTAATCCCTCGGTTTTGATTTTAGCACCTCGAGATTGTTAGCGAGAAGGTATCGTCATATCAAAAGCCCATTTTATCAACTCTAATTGTTAGAGGAATTTGAAAAGACTTTATTCGAAAAATCCATCGCGGTAGTCTCCTTCCTGATTTGCATAAATTAACAACCGGAGCATCTCCGCGGTTACCGCGGACGTTCCTGCACGAGTTGGAAAAGATTGTGCGGCGAACAGTTTTGCGGTGACGAGCGTAACAGAACAAAGGACAAGCTACGTAATAATTTATTATACTCGACAAAACTTCTTACACAGGAAATTAAACACATTTGTATGACCTCATTGAATGTACCATCGTTCAAGATTTAATGTTGATTTTTTTCTGCATGTTGTACACGATATTCGCCGAAGACTGGAACAGCTTTTTCTCGTATTCGGTTATATGCATTCGAATGATATTCGTGATGCCATTTTCGCCAATCGCGCAAGGTAGCGACAGGAACATATCGTGACATACATCATGATGACCCTATAAAAATGATTATGCTTCGTGTAGAGAGATCATTACAATCTCCTATAAATTTATATTTAGTCGATATAACAGTAATTTCTTTTAAAAGATGTGTTTCATTTATATTTTATTCGAATATATCCAGATTTATTTATGCAAAACGTATGAAAAAAATCTGTCATTAATTGCTATTAGTTCTATCAAATTAGCTTAATGTGATTTATCCATCAATGAATAAAATATTTTTCGAATGAGAGCAATGTGGCACACATGCATATTAATATATACCTGTATTTGAGTTGAAACTGGTATAATCGCTTGAGTATTGCGTAATATTGCGATTATGATATCTACTGCGGAAATTCCAATGGCCGTATTTGAGTATCCTTTTAAACACCGCACTGTTGGGCCTCTGAAGAAATTAAAAATATTGTCTAATCTGTTTTAACATACTATTATAAAACTATATTATTATACCTAAACTCTACAATTATTTTTTAATATTGATAGAACGAAATTGAAAACTAGCAATATATCTCCAATAAGAATAAAATTATTGAAGACTCACAACTTTACGACTTCTCTCGATATTTCGTGCCATCTTTCATCGTCCGTTTCCAAACCAATATTCGGGATAATATCACGGAATTGCACCCCTGCGACGCTCACTCCGGACCAGAGCGGAACTAGTGAAACGTCATATGTTATATTGGGCTTAATGCATAACATCTCGCTTTGTTTATTCTGTGTCAAATGATAGGTATATTCGATAGAGCTTACCCATACTGTCCCCATGTTCACCGATTATAAATGCTTGAACCGAACTTGGCGCTATTCCTAATCGATCACCAATCAAATAGCGAAATCTTCCGCTGTCCAAATGAGTTCCGCTGCCAATTACTTGATGGGCCGGAAGTCCGCTCAGCTTCCAGGTAACCCAGGCCAAGATATCCACTGTACAAGAAAGTCATTTACGTTAGTAAAAATACAATACATAAAAATTAAAAAATGAAATTATTTTTAAAGATTTATTTTAACCAGGATTGCTGATAATGATGAACACAGCATTAGGGCTATAATTTACGAGAGGTGGTATTATATTTTTCAATATCTCTGTATTTCTTTGCACCAAATCAAGTCGGCTTTCGCTCTTCTTTGGTCGTACACCCGCGCAAATCACTACGACTTTTGAATTATGTGTCACACAAAAATCTACAGAAGAAATTTTTATTTTATTAGAGTATAAATAAAGAGAAAAATAATTATTAAAAGTGAGACATAAGCTGAGACTAAGTGGATTTATTTTTGTAAAATATAAAATTATTATTAATCAAAACATGCAGTTAATCATATTATACATATACAAATAAATTTACAATTTTTGCAATTAATATATATTCAATAAATCCATTACCTGTGTCGTACTCGATCTTTGGATCTCCTATGAATGAAGAACTATGACAAAAATCCATTCCTTCGCCTTCCAACTTTTTAGGAAAGGCGTCTACTATTGCAATGTGCGAAGTAATTCGCTAATATTAAATAAAGAACAATAGTAAAAATTTATAAAACATATTGCTAAAAAAATTAAATTTTGATATTCTCATTCTTTATTTAAACTACACGATAGGTTCTATAATATACCATAATGTGAATATAATTAAGCAATAATGCTTATATATATTTCTCTCTTCAATTGCATCTTTTCTCTGCAACTGCATTTGTTCAATATACAAATTTTTAATATAAAATAAATAATCCAGCAAATAAACATAATATAAACGGCCAAGAGACAAAATTCCAATAGATAGAAAAAGGATTGCAGTACTTGAAAGAGGAGCGCATTCGCAACAGCAACGCCAACCATACCAGCACCGACAATAGCGACTTTATGACAGCAGTCTTTAACTGGTTCCGAGGTCTTGCATAAGAGTTCTTCTCGTAAGCATGGCGAACTAAAATTCGAATAATTCACTTTTCTTTAATATTCCAACGAAATGTTACATCATAATATCATTTAAAGATTTCTTTAAATTATGCATCAAATTACCAATAATTTCAAAACTGATTACATTAGATTTTCTGAAAAATGTTCTATTAATCAGAGATTTATGTTGTAAATGTAGATTTAATACAAATAACAATTTTACGTTTGTGTGACACACACATCATAACGCATTTATAAAATTTTTATATTATATACTTTTAAAATGAAAATTTATTTTACAAAGAGAAGAAATGTATCATGAAATTGCTTCAGAATATAGAATAAATAATTATGTTATAACATAAGAAAAATTTCAGAAGATTGTGCAATAATAATTAGATAACATCTTTAAATAAATTAAATGTAATCAAAAATAATTCATTGCTAAATTAAACTTAGAATAAATCCAGCCAAACGATATATATTTTGTTTAAAATAATAATTATCATGTATATAAGCATAACAACGAAGATGCTTACATAAAATTAACGGTTCGCTGTAAATCTGAACCAGCAGTCGCATCTTTTCCGAAAGGTTTCCCTTTATTACTTCCGAAGATTTTCGCCAAAACTGTCGGCGGTAAAGGACGTGTATATCGACTCCTAATGGAGCCTATTGCCGTCGTTGATGTCACGCGGATAAGATTTCTCAAACATATCGATAGCGATGATTTTAACAGTATTGGTGATAGAACCATTGTTTCTGTCATTCGCCGATTTTGTAAACGTCTCACGATCGTTTTCACCCGCGCCCGTCACATCGCATGAAACCGTTTTTTTCTCGAAAGGAGAGAGTACACTGATAATCGAACGACATAACATCCTTGGCATTCCGCCATCATGTCGATTCGCCAATTGTTAAACGCATCCATGGTTACTTAAATTTTGTACAGCAGGTGTTCAAGAAAAAAATATGTATAAAAATATACTATCCATTGATAAATTATTTGAAAATATTTTATTACTTATATAATATATTAAAAATGGCTTATTATATAATAATTGTCACATTACATTAATAATCGAATTTGTCACAAAAGTTATATATTTATACACACATATAAACACGCATAAACATTCATAATAGGAACATTATTTATCCTATTAAAGTTAATAGCACAACATAAAAATAAAACATGTAATTGTGTGTGTATGTGTGGATAAAATTTAAGATGTAAGATATTTTTTAAAAATTTGAAAACAATTTACTTTCACATTATAACGTAAAAAATTAACATTATCCAATACTTGATATTAAAAATTTGAATCATACATAATTAAATTTGCGTTGTTTATCTGCATACGTGTGTGTGTATTATGCGCTTTATTATAATATTATATTATCAGTATATTTAATAAGAAAATATTGTGTAAATAATTGAGTTATTAGATAAAAAATAATTTATTAGAAAGATAAAATGGTTTAAATAATATGTATGATAATATTAAAATATAAATCATAATGGCAAATAAGCCTATTGCTGGCAAGATAATATAAGATTGAAATAAATTATAATGAGATCTCTGTTATAAGAATATTATATAAATAGAAATTATAATAAGAAATAAATATAGCCAAATATTTCATATTTTTAACTTTCTCACACATACACGTGTTACAAGTAGTATGTGAATATAGATATTATGTAGTTAAAAACATTTATATCTAAAAAATATGTATGTATATATGAGTAAACTTGTATATATGCATGATAGTGTGTGTTGACATCTGAAACATGTAAGTACACATAAATTGGATATAAATCGACACACAAAAACACATAAAAATAAAATAAAATAAATATACGTAGATAAAGATAATATATAAAGATAATTCTTCTAAAATTTGAGGCCTTGTTGCACTTCGTTCATCATCACTGCAGATTTATGTAACAGTGCAAGTTCATCGTCTGTTAACTTCTGCTGAACGATGTGCGTGACGCCATCTTCACCCAGCGTGCAAGGTAAGGATAAAAACACTTCTTCCTTAATTCCATGATAACCCTAAAATTATTAAAGCTGTTAGTTTTAAATAACTGATCTTTATATATAAAAATAATTAATATTGCATTTGATAAAAAAAATAAATATAAATAATTAACGTATTAATAAAAATGCACATACATAATAAAAAATTAGTAAATAATTTAATACAATTTAATTAAATATAATCCATAACAAAAATATATTGTCATCCATTGCTAAAACTTTTAAAAATATAAAAGAATTTACAGTTATTGTTATTAAAACGAAAAATAAATAAGGAATGTAATATAATTAATAATATATTCCGACTATATAATTAAATATGCCTAATGAAATATAAATTTTAATGAGAGATTATTTATATATTATTATTAAATGAATATAAGTTAATGTAAATTAATGTAGTGGAAATCTACGTTGTCGACTTACAGTAACCAACGTGGATACAGCATGCACTTGATTGGAATTTCTTAATATTGCTGATGCAAGATGCGATACGCTGAGACCAATAGCCCAAGAAGTATAGCCCTTCAACTTGATCACCTCGTACGCGCTTTGTACTACCTGTTTATGTAGCTCATTCCAATGTTCCTTGTCTTTGTCAGTACCCACGTTTTCGTTGAGATCACGCAAACGCACTCCAGCAACATTAACTCCGGACCATACAGGCACTGATAAATAGAGAAATAAATATTTCTTATAGTATCTTATATATCATAGAAATAAGTATTTTTGTAAGTATATGTATTATAAATTTGGCTACTGTAATTAAATTTTTATTTTATAAATATGAAAAAAAGCTATAATTTTTTATACTATTTTCAAATGTCATTTAACTTAGCCGGCAATTTGATTAGTCACAATATTTTTTATTCATTAGTTGCAAAAGATTTGCTTTTTAAAAGAGTATTTTATGCACCGCTGGTGTCACCATGTTCCCCGATAATCCAACCATGGCAGGATGTAGGTGCGACGTTAAGTTTTTGAGATAACAGGAAGCGGAAGCGAGCAGAGTCCAGATTTGTACCGCTACCAATGACTTTATTCTTCGGCAAGCCGGAGAGTTTCCATGCCACATATGTTAAAATATCCACAGGGTTAGAAACGATCAGGAGAATCGTGTTCGGGCTATATTTGACTAACTGTGGAATGATGCCTTTGAAGATGTCAGTGTTACGTTGAACCAAATCCAGTCTGCTTTCGCCTTCACGCTGACGAGCACCCGCCGTAACAATGCAGAGGCTCGAATTGGCAGTAGCAGCGTAATCTGTACTAGCATTGACTTTTGCATTTTTCATAAATGCACTGCCATGTTGCAAGTCCAACATCTCCCCTTTTAGTTTGTCTATCATCACATCAATTAATACCACATCACTCGAAACGTGCTGCAAAAACAATAATTTATTGAGTAATTTAATTTTATATATATATATTAATTGCAATTAAAAGTAAACTATTGTCAAAAATAAAAATAATAACATATTTAAATTATCATGTCATAAAATTAATTACTGATTATTAATATTGATTTACATTTGTCAAGATGCTAAAAGCACAGGCCATTCCAACTTGACCCACACCGACTACTGTGATTTTGTTTCTACCACTTGGCACATGTTCCGTCACAGTAGTTAAAAGTTGATCTTTTAACGTTGCCATTTTCTGTAAAGTTATAAAAATAATTTGATGATATATTAATATATTAATATACAAATTTGTTATGTATATTTTAATTTACATGTAACATTTATTATATTATTTTTTATATTTTTTGTTTATTAATCACGAATAATAAAAACTGAATTTAAATTAATATATGCGATGAAAATTGGTACTAATAAAAATCACTAACAAGGCCATTGTGAAGGTCAAAAGGTCGTATAATATTGAAGACGCGCATGTCCATGAAGTGATGATCTCTATTACTTAAAAGAATTTCATTTTAATAGCAATTGTTCTTCTTTATCTTTACGTTTGATTAAAATCAAACGGAGGCCATTAACCCTGACAATAATATCGATTCTAACACATGTCTGCTTCTTTTTTTAGAAAGGACAGTGTCGCGTTGGCAAGTGCCATTTCAAGACATACGGTTGTAAAAAATGCATCACGCAATTTTTTGCCGCTTTCTGCACGTGCAACGAATGCAACAAGTGCATTCAATTGTCAGATGGCAGTAGCAGTATAATCAACGTATATACATCTTTTTTTGAGATACCGGCATTTCCTTTTAAATTAGGTACAAACATGTAAATTGTGAAGCGGAAAAGTACGAAGAATGAGCATGTAGGAATTTAATTATAATTCGTTGATATCGCAGACTGTTCATTAATCATAAATCATCAACGCGCTTGACCGGCGAGATATAATCGACAAACAACGTCCGGTATTATGAAACTCGTTACACTTTGTACAGAAAGGTAGAGAATAATAAACTGTAACACACTGGTATATTACACACACATAGTATAACAAATGTCGATAATACATATACTATCAACATACTTTTTATCGCAGGTAATGAACATAGGCTGACAGCGAGCAACTAATCAAATAAGAAACACAATCAAACAAATTTCACGCGCGCATTATAAGTATTTACAAATATCAATAAACTGACAGATAGAAAGAGAGAGAGAGAGAGAGAGATTAAATCTAATAAGATAAATTTGTTAAAATCAATTTTAAATTAATAAATCACAAAAAATTAATATTTAAAATAATTTTTCTAGATATTATTATTTATTGTAACAACTAGTTTAGATATTGTGATTATTTGAGCAAAAATAATTATAAATAATATATTTAATGGAATCTTTACCAACCTCAATAAGTATTCTTTCGGAGGCTCTATTCTTCGACACTGTCGAACACAGACTGAGCACGTTGCAGCCGGCTCACCGCTATTCTACTGACTGGAGTAAGAGTTCAGGGATGTAGGTTCGCTAAGGTGACCTTACCCCCACTTTATATACCTTCTGCGAACGACAAGTATGATGAAATATATGAAATCTTTGACATTTTATTGCAATTGTAAAAATGTCAAAATTAAAAAATAACAATCAGAATGTATACAATTTTTTACATAAGACTTTAACAAAATGCCACGTAAATTCTGATTCAAGTATTATAATAAGCGCAGACGCAGAGGTGCTTCGGAGCACGTAGCACTTTACGATTTCGGAGAAGGAAACGTGACATCGCGCACGCGTAAAATGACGCAATCACGCACATGACGTGATATTTACCATCGATCCAATTCAGAAAGAATTTCTTCTCTTGAATCTTCTGACAAACCACCCAATCATGAGATGCTATGAGGACGTTAGAGAGTGGGATGAATGTATTTCTGGAATTATTACACCCAAGCAGTAACTTCGCGTTTTATAGTGTAAACGACAAAGTTAAATCTATCTGATTTCTTTAAATAAAAATATTTAGATTAATGTATATATCTGAGAAAGTTTTCATAAAAAAAACATTATTTTTAATATAATTTTTGAAACATTTTTAAATGGTAAAAATAAAAACATTATTTTCAAAAAAGCTTAATATATAGAAAGAAGATGTGTAAAAGTTATTTAAAATTAAATTAAAATGAATTTAAAAACTAAAACATTTCTTGCAATTTTATTTTAATATTGTAAATAATTTTAACTTTTAATAAACTTTTGTACATATTTGCTATAAGATATTATTTTACTAAAATGTTAAAAAAAAAAATGGCTGTAAAATATTTTTTTGAAAAATTACATTTTTTATTGAATTTCCATTACAGCAAAATCAATTTAAAACGCGTCATAAATGTCAAAAGATAATATAAACATTTTGTAGGAACATGTAACATTATCGATATTTAAGATGATCAATGAAGTGAAATTAATAAATTATTTTTACAAAATAAATAATATGTAAGTACAATTTAGAGCAGATTATATTGACGATAAGCAATACACGCAGATTAATGCACCGCGATAATTTTCCTGATCACAGTCAGCGAAGATGAGTCAGATGACGGGACACCGGTTGTATGTGCTCTGATGCAACTTTCTCCATGTGGTTGCAACGCGTTGCCTCGTCGTTTATATAGTGCTGCTCATATTTGAGCGGTTTTGGCACATCTTCTTTCCTCTTATGCCCTATTTGTGTTCTCCCTTGCTTTTATTGACAGATATATATGTCTTCTACCTCGAAATGGCAATAGTTATATCAAGAAGTACGTGAGTAAACTCATGTACGCTTTCATCAAATTTTATTACGTGAAATATAGTATTGAATCGCATGACATACCGAACCTACTGCCAAGCACAATAGACATGCAGCGATTTATAAATACACTAACAATAAGTTATTACTGAATTTTGTAACTTATTTAGAAAATTATTTTTATCGCAGCTGGTGCGCGTTGAGAGTACAAAAAAAAAAAATTATGATAGAGAATATTGAAAAATCGGGTTATAGTAACAATATTAATTAATATTAGAAGATAAACATCAATAAATTATATATTAGAAAAATAATGTATATTTAATTAATGGTATATATGACACACATGTGCATCCATTTTTATTTACATTCCATAGAATATTATACCACCTGCTCAATGTTATCAGTAATATTAGTTTCCATCAAAAATAGATTAAAAAGTTTTATTTTATTATGTATCTGTGTGTGTGTATGTGATCAATCTTTCAATTTCCATCTGAGTTGAATATAGAAGTCCCTAACTATTCTTGCATAAAACAATTTATCATATTTACTGTAGTAATGTTTCCTGATACATAAATAAATTTCTTTAACTATAATGGTAATTATATGTTGACTCCAGAAAAATATTTAAATATAATTTTAATCAAAAGCAATATCTTTCAAAGCAATATTTTCTTGTGCTTTTCTTTCAGAAATCATATTCTCAACCAAGGTCCTTTCTTCACCAATCCGCATCTAATTACTGAATATTTCAACGCAGACACTTCAATATACAGTACACGTCGAGCATACAAAAACTTGACGAATTGAATGTCTCATTTATCTACGGCTGCTGTTGAAGGCCAAAATGGCCAGAGAAGCTCATTCGTGTCGTTGAACGATTGCGGCATCTATATGAAGATGACACACATAATTACAAACTTGAAAACCCAAAGAGTTGACGTCGCGAAATTAGCATAGCCGTATAAATATACGTACCAGAGGCAATTGGGAGAGACAACATGCATACAGCGGCCCTTTTTACCCTGCGCGTGAACATGTTATGTTTATCACTTCTGCGAAGCAAATAACTTGCTCGTCGTCGGCTACTACCTCAGGGTCCGCTGTCTCCGATAAAGAGAAAGAGACCACGCGGGACCTCTCAGAAAGTCGGACATTAGCGTTGACTGGTGTAAACGGCATTGTCGCTACCGTAATGCAGCTCCTGCATTATTTTAACATACGCGCGAACATCTGCCGTTTGCACATATGACAAATTTAGTATAACGATAAATATCTTCTAGCTATGGTTTACGCATGTCTAAAAATGAATTATTGCTCATCAATGAAGCTAATTCATAGTTAAGATCACTCCTAATTACGTAATGTAATAGTAATGATGTGTACGATAATTTTACTTTACTAGCGCTTCTTTAAAAAATACCTAGAGATAGAATAATCGTATGATTTATAATCAACATATGTGATAATAATGAATAATTTTACATTAATGAATTTATTAACATTAAGAAAATTAAGTTTAGTAGATTAAGTTGCTATATATGATTTAGGTATATTAATATAAATGTAAACTCTAAGTCAGATATATACACACAAATCTAATTTTAATCTTGGAGTATCAAAGTTTATCAAGATTATACGTTTAATCTATTTTTGATATCTTAATACTATTAATTTTATATTTGCAATTTTTTGGTAATATCAAATATTCAAAAAAAATTAAATTTTAAGAGATAATAAATTAATAAAAGATGAAAATTTTTATACCGGGTACAAGATAATCTTTTTTTAATTTTGTAATTGCATGATCACACACTGGGAAAATCATCCTCGTAATAAAATTTCTCATGAAGTTAGTTATTACCGTTTCCTGTTAGCGCAGTATTATATAAAGTTTTTTATGCAATTATTTCGGTATAGTAATCATCTTAAAAAGCAGTCTATGTAAAATATGCGAAAAAAAGTACATTGCAATATCCTACTCCAATTTCCATAACCAATATGTACAAAGTATTTACATGATATGCCTAACAGTCTGCGTGAAATTATGTTAAGCAAAGCGGATGCGGATCTATAAAGTTTCGAACAAAGTTAATGAATAAGAAAAAATAGAAAGAATAGGCTTCCTCATAATAGAGCAATTTAGTAAATTGATGAACGTGATAATTAAGACCGTGTTAAAAATTAACAACGAGACCTTGATATGGCAATTACTGTAGGATAACGCATGTATATTCATTAGCAGCTGTGACATGCGTGCACGTGTTTGTATGTATACGCATCCGGTGCTGGCCCGCTATATTTATATGGGGTCACGAAATTTCGACTCGTTTTCTCGCGACGTAATTGTAAATTATAGCTCGTAAGAAAATGTACTCATAAAAGAAATCGCTCGCAGATATGAGCGTACGTTAGCTATCGTATCTTAAGCCGAAAAGGATTCGTTAAGTTATTCCAATATCTCACGTAAATCATCTCGCTTGTTTGCGATTTCAAACAAATTAAAAAGTGCGTAATACTACGGCACTGCACGTAATCGTGGCGTAATATTGCGAAAGACCGACATTTCTGAAAATAATACAGTCAGCATTTATAGCGCGTTAGCTGTTTAACTTGCGATAAAAAAAAACTATACTCATGCGATAAAAACTTAATTGCGAGAAGGTACAAGTCCATTCATAGACTGAAAATAATGATTTTTCATATTTTATATTTAGAAGATATAGAATCGTTGAAACATAAAATTGTCGTACTAGCTTTAATTTTATTTGTTAGGAAGTAATTAAATTTTGAACATAGCGTATAGCGTGTAGCATGAATAATTTTTATTGTTTCAAATAAGATTTAGTCAAACATTAATTATTTGAGAAAGAAGAGAATCTTAAATGTATAATATATAAAATTTACTTTACAAAAGTTCATGTAAACAAAAATATATTTTAATCACGCAGTTATCTATAACAAAGATTATTGTCCTTGATTACGAAAAAACTAAAGTTATTACTGCATGCAATAATTTTGACCGCAAGAAACTTACGACATAATTACGAGCATGTAGATCCACTTTCGTGCCGGTTCTCCGAAGCTGCGTTTCTGTCGATGCACGAAATTGCATCTGATGTTTGTCCGCAGCCGCATTCCCGTACCACTTCAATACCGCGGGTGGTCGTCTTCGACATCGGGCGTTAAAAGCGCTCACGCGTGCGGGCGATGAAGAAGGCCAGGGAGAAAGAACCCGACGGAGAAAGAAAGAGAGAGAAGAAAGTGAACGAACGGGTTGCAATAAGTGATTCTCCGTAACTATAAATAAATGGCGGTGCGTTTCGAAAGGCTTCGCTCGCTCGTAAATCTCGAATCGAGGCATAATCGCCGAAACAATCTGGAATCTACCGCGAATCGAGCCATATCTCTTCACGCGTTTGGGCCCCCGATGATGCCCGCCGTTGCCTTACCGTCGACGGTAAAATAGAATCTAACCGCTCTCATCGGTAATCCAGCATCCTTTTATAAATCAAGTTCCGATATCGACGTAGGCCGGTTTCGTAGCGGCGAAATTATCCTAGTCCGCTTGCGTGTAGGATTATTATCCCTACTCTTCTTATCCTTGATATATCGTGACCCGCAACCGGAACTAGAATGAAGTGAACCAAAACAAATTCCCCTTTTTCCTTAATTTCATAATAAATTTTTTAGAAAAATATATAATTTGAATATTAGTGCTTTTTTGAGATGAGGGATTACGCCTTCTACCGTTGGTTACCATGTAACTCTGCGCTTTAATTGATTAAGATTTTTTATGTATACCGTTTATAGTTTAATTTAGTACTATTTGCGCTGATGATGGCCCAAAAAAAAAGGGCCGAAACGTCCGCCATTCGCGAATCATGTAATTAAAGAAATTCTCTAATTTTTTTAATTTATTTTTTGGTTTAAATTATATACCTTTGCGCCCAAAAAACTGCGCGTGGCTCTTTTGCCTTTTTATTCGGAGTTTGATTTTAAGTTGTAAGAGCCTTACTTTTATATCCTTTTGAATATTAGTGCTTTTTTGAGAAGAATATTGAATAATATTGAAATATATAATTTTTAAGTTTTGTTAATTTGATGCTATATTCTAATAGCATCAATATACACACACGCATCTATTAGTAATCATTGATTATCTTATCATCTGGAAAATGCGCTAAAAAATCCTCTGCAGCAATCTTCCATTGATTGCCGGATAAATGGAATCGGAATGAAATAGAATTTCATTGCGTAGTCACGTATCATATTAAGAAATTGCAATTACGTTCAAATCGCGTACATATTTTCGCGATCCATTGCAGCCAAGCTAAATTGCGTCTACAAGAATGTATGTACACATATATGTCTGGATTCGATTAACTTCCGTATCTTTCGTGAATAAAAAAGACATACGTTATATAAATATCATTACAATTTACTAATTGCGTTAAATAAATATAAATGTCATTAAATATTTCTATGGCGAATAATTGATTTTATGTATATTTTATTCAGCAATGAATTTTTCGTATTTATTTTCTACACAATACACGTATCAATTTTTTACATTTAATTTCCTGTATCTGTAATAAATTTTGTTTATTGAAACATTTTATATTGCTCGGGAAAATGTGTATTCTATTGTCTCCTAAAAATCTTATTGTGTAAAAATCTGTGAAGGTGTGTGTTAATATAAAAATTGGTTTCGGACAATCGTAGTGGCGTGATTTCACGCCGTTAATCTTTCCCGACAATTAACTGACTGTAAGGGCTACAACGCAGTGGCTATTAATTACAATCAACGTTATCTTACACAGACAACCGATACAGAGAAGATTTAATCTTACACATTCAAAGGAAGTATTTACCTCTTAAAATCGTATCGGTACTGCTATATGAATACATATACATGCATCAATATTGTTTTAGTGTAAAAAAAAATTATTAGCATACATAAAACTTGTGAAATTTCTTGCTTGGATCGAAAAGACTATGCATGGTAAACAAGTTTATAAAAAGATGGCCAAACAGACGTGCTCGGATATACCTTTGATCGTATATGTTCCTTCTTCTTCCAACAGATGCCGGGAATGTTCAGTATTTTTCTCTTCGAAATGGATAAAACTAATGAATTATAGAATATATATGACTCTGAAAGAACAGTAAGCAATAATATACTGTATAAATAAATTAAACGTAAATGAGATGCAATGCAAAATTAATTATCTAGTTTATATATAATGTCACATGAAAATATAATTAAAATAAAACCAAATATTTATATCTTTCATTTCAGACGTTTTATTATTGAATAAAATTTCAAGATATATCAATATATAATAATTGTTCAAGTTTAATAATAAATTATAGTGAAAAGTAGATTTGATAGAATATAGAAATAATACAAAAAGAACATAAACAGTTTTTTAAGAAAGAAGAGAGAATGAAAAAAAGAGAGAAAGTGGCGAAAGTTCTGCAACGACGAGCCCGAGAAGAAAGAGAGATCGAAGAGAGGCTGTGCCCATTGATTAACGGATATCTTAATTACTGATTGGCCGCACGGACTAATTAAATCGTAACTCAATCAGGACTCCGACCTGCCTCCTGCGCCACGGCGATTTTACGAGCGTATGCGCGCAGTTTGAGACTCCCATATACATATGTCCTGGGTTGCTGATGGCATATGGGTGGCTTTGAGTAATGCACTGCAACCCCTACCCTATCCTCCTTTTACATACTTCCTTCACCGATCTTCCTCGCACGGCAGTGTCTCCTTTTTTACTTCATCTTTTCTCTTTGCACACCTTTTTTTTTCATCGACAGTCTCCTCGCTTCGAGACCGCTTTGGCATTATATTTGCTTGGAATAAAAAAATATATGTGTAATTAGTAATACCTACCACTACGCGAGTCCCGTTGGGCGATGTTCCCCGGTTCCTCCTACTTTTCATTCGTATAAACTACATCAGATATGAATTTTCAATAGCAGATCGCGTAGATACATTTTTAAACTTGTCTCTGAGTTCATCTTTTTGCATAACGCGGGCTCGCTAATTAGCACAAAACCCATATTCGCAGGTTTAACATCAGATATAACCAAATTTAAATGCCTATTTTATGTCTGCATTTATAAATGCTATTTTCTTATTTCAAACAAATAAAACTCAGACAATGTTGATCTCAATGTTAAGCATGCGGGTAAAGATAATCAACGTTAAATATAAGGACAATAATTCATACTTTCTTTTTCATACCGCGATACTCAAATAAGATAGCAATTAACTTGCAAACCAATTGTAGCTATATTATATATGTATAATTATAGTAGAATACAAGAGTTGCATTTGGATCCGATGCATCTGCAATATATGTATCATATTTCATATGCATATAAAAATGTATATTTCTTATAAGTAATGTTAAAGTCGGAAGGTTATTTGAATTAATGCAATATAAATAACATAAAGAATAAGAAACTAAGAAAAGAGAATATTTAACATAAAGTATATATTTTCCAAAACCTATTACTATACCTATATTAAACTACACTTTCTTTGCGATATAAAGAAATTATAAATTAAAATATATTAACACATAATTATTTTTTAAATAAAGATTCAATTGTATTGATATAAAAATCACAGATTTTATAAAAACAATCAAAATTATAGAATTATTTAATAAACAAGATTATTCATTTAATCAAAAACATTTTTTTATTTTTATTTTTTAAGACATTATGGAATACTTACTTTATTCATAATGCAAAATGCTCTTTTAGTTTTTAATAAAAATAAAACTGTTTTAGTTAAGCTGTTTCAATTATATATTAGTTCTATTTATTATTTACAAATAAAAAATGTGCCATTTAGACAATATATATCGCACACATTTTTGAGACATGTATGCAATGTAAACAATGTAAGAATTTATTTTATTCTATTTTTTTTATATTTATGAAATAAATTATACCTTCATATACGCATCATTATATAATAATATCTAAAATATCCAACAGCTACTGTCTCTCACGTACTCAGTTTTGTCAGAATAATGAACATCAGAAGCATACACACCAATTTTCTATCAAACAATCATTTGTGTATTATCCAAACTGCAAAAATATAATTTTTGTTAAATTTTCTTTGTGCAGAGAGCAAAAAAATCAAAGATTAATATTAAAACTTCAATAATTCTTATTTAAAAACAACATTTTTTATTTAAATAACAATTTTCTTCTAAATATTTGCAACAAATATATTTCTCAAGTTACACAAATTTGTCTTATTGCTCTCTCAAATAATTTTGAAACGATTTAATATGTGAAATATGCTTATTATATTTAAAAGCCTCCTTAATTATTTTTTAGATACTACAGCAATTATTTCTAAGCAGTGAAATGTAATATAAAAGCGATATTTCTAAAAAAATTTAAAGCAGAAATCTGTTACTTATGATTAGCATTAAATGTGAAAATAATAAAAGTGTAATTACATTTGCAAAATGAGCTGTCCAAAGCTTTCCTTGATTATGTTGTCTCTCTGGTACACGTCTCATATTAGCAGGAACAAGAGGTTCAAGTGATTCTCTTGGAGAATTCTCAGTGTTCTGACAAGTTGTTAGCGATAAACTGATAGCCAACATGATTACACACAATATTCGAACAAAATATTTCATGTAACTATATTTAATTACAGTAAATATAGTCACTGATAGCAAATTTGATTAATTATAAATAATCAGAAATCAGAAGAATTTTCGTAAAATTTCCGATGTTTTATTCGATCTTGTTATATTCTGCCAGATTCCTCCACTCAATCGGCTATTTATATTCATCTCTAGAGACGATTACGCAAACTACGTTTTTACCACCACTTCAAACAACTTGCTGATATATGTAGAAAGAACGACCATTAAATAAGAAACTGTCCTTGAAGATTAGATCGTGAATATTCATTATGAATTTTATATTTTATGTTACTTTCTGGAGATGAAAATACCTGTGTGCTTAAGATTTTATTAATAATTATATAATAATCTCTTTCATAATTTCTTCTTAATTTATAGCATGAATTGATGTCGACACGTAATATTATCATTCATACATAAAATGTTAATGCAGCCTGAAATCAAAGCTATTGCACAAAATATTCTGCCACTAAATGATACATTCGATCTCTTGTGTATATTGGAGATACTTTATTATTGATATTCAAACAGCAGTTATACTGGCAAACGAACGTCTTAACTAATGTAGAGAATGACAGAGACAAAAAACGTGATATCAACATGCGTGAATTTTATAATAAATTAGTATATCGTTGACCACTAGAGGGTCGCGAAACTGCCTTCCTTTATATTTATAATAGCAATCGTTTTATCATGTCGATCGCCTTTAGCAGGACGGTTAACTGCTCCATACACAGAGCAATTAATTACAAGTAGTCTGCATTAATCTTTGCAAATTGGAGCCGAAATCCTCGGAGTACGCCCTGCAATTTATAAGAAGACTCCTTATTCATCAGATTGCGCAACAAAACCAAATCGTCCTATAAAACAAATGCAGATTTCTCTTTTTAACTCTTCGACTCGACTGGATAAGCCGGATGGCAAAAAGTAAGATCCTTTGTCACGAGAGCATAGTACACTGCTTGGTGTTTCAACGAAACGCCTCAACTGATGCAAATTAGCACATCAAAAAATTTGCGAAATAATCCGTAACTTTCTTTTTTATTTAAACTATATCTCAATTTCTCTTTTTTTTTTGCAAATTTGAATTAAAAATATATTTTTATATATTATTTCTTCGTTAAAAATAAAAAATTTATTTTAGGGTTGTCGACACGGACTAGAAAAAGATATCTTTATGTCACTACCGTGTGTAGTCGGAAGAAACGGCGTGCAATCATTTATTCGTTTGTTATATACAGCCAAGGAGCAAGAACTGATGACAATATCTTGCCGAAGAATTTATGAAGCACAGAAATCGATCCTTGACAAGATTGAATGAATAAGAGACGTAAATAAAGTATTTCTCGCATAATTTTACAATTACAACACATTCGATTGTGTGCAACTTTTTAAAGATATTAAATATTCTGCACAATTAACAAGTAGATCGTTTCAATTTTATGTCCAAAAATAAGGAAAGAAATTGGAGAAATCAGAGAAAATTTTAAATATATATATATATATATATATATATATATATATATATATATATATATATATATATATATATATATATATATATATATATATATATATATATATATATATATATATATATATATATATATATATATATATATATATATATATATATATATATATATATATATATATTTAAAATTTTCTCTGATTTCTCCAATTTCTTTCCTTATTTTTGGACATAAAATTGAAACGATCTACTTGTTAATTGTGCAGAATATTTAATATCTTTAAAAAGTTGCACACAATCGAATGTGTTGTAATTGTAAAATTATGCGAGAAATACTTTATTTACGTCTCTTATTCATTCAATCTTGTCAAGGATCGATTTCTGTGCTTCATAAATTCTTCGGCAAGATATTGTCATCAGTTCTTGCTCCTTGGCTGTATATAACAAACGAATAAATGATTGCACGCCGTTTCTTCCGACTACACACGGTAGTGACATAAAGATATCTTTTTCTAGTCCGTGTCGACAACCCTAAAATAAATTTTTTATTTTTAACGAAGAAATAATATATAAAAATATATTTTTAATTCAAATTTGCAAAAAAAAAAGAGAAATTGAGATATAGTTTAAATAAATCCTATCAATAAACCTTCAGAAACGTTGAAACAGTAAAACAGGCGCAAGTGTTGCGCACGATAGCATCGACGATTTCACTTGCGCAGATACCGACTCCCCAGCTGTGATAACCTTTCTTTGTGATCAACTCATTATCGCAGTCAATGATTTTTGTGTGCAAATCTCCCCAGGATTCCGGATCTGTTCTCGTGCCAATCTCTTTATTTATGTCTTTTAAAGGCATACCCATTACCGCAACGGCGGACCAAACCGGCACTAAACGTATTAAAATAGAGGAGTTAATGAAAATATCGTAATAATAAAGAAATCAACTGACTAAAAATGTGAGACGTGTTCCACATTACAATTTACTATAGATTTTATATAAATTATACCAGAAGCCGGTCCGCTCTCGCCAATAATTAATGCTTGAATTGCGCTCGCCGAAATTCCGAGTTTCTGAGCGATAAAATATTGGAATCTACAACTATCCAGAAATGTTCCTAGTCCTATGACACGATTGGGTGGAAATCCCGATAACTTCATAGCAACGTACGACAAGATGTCGACTAAATAAGGAAATCGAGACAATATTTTTCAATTATTATATTTATAATGTTCGCGGTTATAGAATATTATGCCAATTTATCGATTACAATGTATTTAAATGTAAAATATTTTGATGAAAAGAAGATTAATTTATTATCACTTGTTAAATAAATACAACACAAGTTTCCATCGAGAAAATTAAAATGTCATATGTGTGCAATTTCTGTTATCAAATGCGTTAAATATAGTAATGATATGTACCTGGCTTTGAAAGAATAAGAAGAACGCTGTTTGGGGCGTACTTGGATACGTTCGGAATGATATCCTTGAAGATTTTCAGATTATGCTCTAGATAATCGGCCGGTTGCTGATCTTCACGAGATTGGCTTCCAACTGTGATCACACATACCGCGGCGTCTCTGGCACAAGCATAATCTATCAAAATGTAATAAATGCTGAATGATTCATCATTTAATGCAAAACAATTAGTCTTATATTATAGATAGAAAAGACTTTATATTTTTTTTTCACAGCTTTTATATAAGCAACATTTTTGAAAAAATGTGAAAGATAGCTTTCTTTCAATTTCCAAAGAGTTGCGGTTTTCAAAAAGGTTCAAATACTCATTTCGAGATAATTGCTCGTTACTCGCGGAAAATGTAATGACGGTTTTTCTCCCTCTCCCCTTTTCCCATCGAGTTTCACCTTTAGTACCGATAATCTTGGGATTGCCGAGATACGCCGCCGCATGGCTGATGTCTTCTGCTTCCGCTTTGGCAAGATCTTCGTTCACGTCTATGAGGACGAGCTCCGAGGCGAGGCGCTGCAAAAAAACACAAGAAATGAACGATAGAATACAGAATAGGCTGACAGAGAAGCTATAAATTAATTAGAGATTATCACTGCCCGGTAGCAGTTTTATTACATTTCGAATCATTACGTAATAAACATCAAGATCATCTCTCGGAAAGTGAGAACATATTTATTAAAGTACCGCATCGAGATCCGCGCTGTTTTCGAGAAAGATTTATTTTGTCGGTTTCGCTTTGTCTCGTCGTCGTCGTGGCTGTACCTGGTGACACAAGCGATGTCTTACGCAGAGCGATAATTCATTCATGAATAATTACGGGACTGGTACAGCTTCTTCTCGTCGTAGGTTTCTTCTGGGGACTACCTTTTCAACCCGGCAGGAGATTTGAATGCGTGGTTCCTTGCGATCGCATTCGTTATGGAATGTCAAACGAGCATGAAGAATGAGATCCCCTGTCTGCACGTACTTCATTTTTCTCTTGCAATCATGGTTTTCACATAAATATTTTCTATTTGTATCTCTGCAGATTTTTTACTTTCACGTATACAGTCTCGAGAATATCGCATTATGGTATATAATCCAGAAAATATTATAACATTGTACAATTTGTAAAGTGACGCGGCAAACGAGAGCGAGGATAAAGAGAATCATCAGCAATCCATATTCGTTTTTGAGCGACGGATCATTAAGCTTGGAGTGGTTCCGAGGACTAGTTCTAATTTGTGCAGACTAATTTGTAGTATAATGAGATATTCGGACAATCATGTAAATCACCTCGTAAAAATTAATGGGCATTATTCTCCTAGGGTCGGTACCGTATACAAATGCGTTTTTGTGGTAATAGCAGCGGACGGGGCGTATATTAAGTATGTTTTACCGACGCTTATGCATCGAACAATTATAACATTGTACAATTTGTAAAGTGACGCGGCAAACGAGAGCGAGGATAAAGAGAATCATCAGCAATCCATATTCGTTTTTGAGCGACGGATCATTAAGCTTGGAGTGGTTCCGAGGACTAGTTCTAATTTGTGCAGACTAATTTGTAGTATAATGAGATATTCGGACAATCATGTAAATCACCTCGTAAAAATTAATGGGCATTATTCTCCTAGGGTCGGTACAAATGCGTTTTTGTGGTAATAGCAGCGGACGGCGCGTATATTAAGTATGTTTTACCGACGCTTATGCATCGAACAGACGGACGCATTTCTTCCTGATGGATGGTGCTTTCACGCGTTAAGACAAACGCCCGGCTGACTACAAAACGACTTCTCGATATATTACGTTGCGCCCTCGTGCTTCCGATCTGTTACTTATGCGCCACTTAATTATCATACTTCGTTAAGCGTGACTTCCGCATGAAATATTGTAAGCTGCTGAATTTTTTCTTTGTGCATATAACAATTGTTTTTTCAATAATTCTCAAATATATTTGTACATATTCGTAATAACACGTGACGAAATAGATAATTTAAAAATTTAAAAATCTCTCTATTATCTCTCTTGATCAAATCACTTGAGATCTCTCGCGATCTCATGCGTAAGAGGCGGACATAATTGCCCTGCGTATTAAATATCAACGTAGATTTTGGCTCGGATATACGGACGACGTATCTTTTGTCGACGGTTTTATCTGGTATAATTCGCACAGCTTGATACGGACCGTCCAATATGACATGTCACAGCGGGAACGAAGCGAGAAGAATCGGAGAAAGAAGCATACCTCGCGTGTGTAGTTGCAAGGAACCACTTACGGCAGATAGATCCGCAAGGTGGATGGTAAGCCGTGGTAGTCGTACGTTCGTACTTCGCGATGATCTCGTTGATGCGATCTGCCAAGCTACGACGCGAGGTGCAACGGCACGGCTCAACCGTATCTTTCGCTTCTTGCTCTTCTTCTCTCTCCGTTCCTCCGGAATATCCTCGGACGATCCGGCAATCAGAACATCTTTGTGATCATGTCGGACAAGCGCCACCGAAATTTCGACTCCCACAGTTAATCTAAATGATCGACGTTAAGTTACAAATGCGTTTTTGTGGTAATAGCAGCGGACGGCGCGTATATTAAGTATGTTTTACCGACGCTTATGCATCGAACAGACGGACGCATTTCTTCCTGATGGATGGTGCTTTCACGCGTTAAGACAAACGCCCGGCTGACTACAAAACGACTTCTCGATATATTACGTTGCGCCCTCGTGCTTCCGATCTGTTACTTATGCGCCACTTAATTATCATACTTCGTTAAGCGTGACTTCCGCATGAAATATTGTAAGCTGCTGAATTTTTTCTTTGTGCATATAACAATTGTTTTTTCAATAATTCTGGAAATATTTGTACATATTCGTAATAACACGTGACGAAATAGATAATTTAAAAATTTAAAAATCTCTCTATTATCTCTCTTGATCAAATCACTTGAGATCTCTCGCGATCTCATGCGTAAGAGGCGGACATAATTGCCCTGCGTATTAAATATCAACGTAGATTTTGGCTCGGATATACGGACGACGTATCTTTTGTCGACGGTTTTATCTGGTATAATTCGCACAGCTTGATACGGACCGTCCAATATGACATGTCACAGCGGGAACGAAGCGAGAAGAATCGGAGAAAGAAGCATACCTCGCGTGTGTAGTTGCAAGGAACCACTTACGGCAGATAGATCCGCAAGGTGGATGGTAAGCCGTGGTAGTCGTACGTTCGTACTTCGCGATGATCTCGTTGATGCGATCTGCCAAGCTACGACGCGAGGTGCAACGGCACGGCTCAACCGTATCTTTCGCTTCTTGCTCTTCTTCTCTCTCCGTTCCTCCGGAATATCCTCGGACGATCCGGCAATCAGAACATCTTTGTGATCATGTCGGACAAGCGCCACCGAAATTTCGACTCCCACAGTTAATCTAAATGATCGACGTTAAGTAGGAATGCGTACTTTCAGTTCTGATGAAGGCTGACTGTCGCGCAAGAGGAAGTCATTCGTCATCGTCAAAAGCGCCGACAACGATGCTGTTTTAAGGAGATCCACGGCATTAATTTGATATGACACGCGAGCAATTTTCCTTAAAAGCTATTATCATCGTCGGTATAACGAGGTCTCTAATATTTCAGCTATTCGGCACCATCGTGACCTCTTTATACATGACGAACTCCGTTACATGTTATTCAGTCTCTCGATGTACACCGTAACATTATCTAACGAGAAGTCTGTTAGTTACGCCCTCCGTATTTCATCGCATGCGAGCACTATTGTTTGCCCTCGTAAATTTGCGGAAACCGAAACCTGAAATTATAGTCGCCCACGCTTATTACCCTCTACCGGAATGTACAGTATATGGATAGTACATTGCTGCATCTTTATGACAAAGAAATTCACATGTTCCATTTAACTTTTCCCTTTGATATGAAACGAAATTATCTAAACAATACAATAATAATATACGATTTCGTTTAGAATATTACAGTCAATTTTATATTTCTCTTTCCATTATTATATTCAATTCGTTAAAAATCAGATGAAAAATAATGTTACGTGTGTATATAACTATCCCGTGAAATTTTTAGAAAATTTCTAAGTATAACTTTTGTAAAATCTTGAGAATCGATTACTATTATAAAGTTTTATAAAATATTTATTTCAGGCAAACCGTGTTATAATAAGATCTCTCTCTATAGTTACTAAAAAAAAGAACATAAATCAGTCGGTTAGTTATTCTGCACATAAGGCGCACAGTCGACGTGTAAACGTTTGCGTTACGACCCGATAACGAGCGAAAGAATGCACGCTTCTTTACAACTTTCTATCGTCTTCTTCCTGCTATCCTCTCTTCCATGTTTTGCCCCGCTCCTTCCTATAGCCAAATTCCTTCTTTTGGTCTTCCATGGGTCATTTGCATAATAGCTTTTTTGAAATGGCACACTAACGAGCCTACATTCAGGAGTCGTCCAACCCGTAAGACCCGCACGTATGCACACACACATGAACCTACACACATCGGCCGGACCATTCCTTCGTTCTGTCATCCTTTCTTACATTAGATGCAATACACGAAGACGTTGCTGAGATCCGCTGACATAAAGCATTATATCTTTGATTCTCCGAAACACAAATACGAATTATGTGTTTAAGCCACATAGATACGGCGCTCTGCTCTATGTCTTATTCACACGAAATTAGTGTGGACGTGTTCATATAAATTGATATATCAAATATATTATCGTATCATCTATAATAAAACGAATTACAATGCACAAATCGATTACATACGCATACATTAATAAATTTTGTATAATATTTCCATGAATTGTATTAATATTGATATTCACTTATATGTAAATTTATACGAGGTTAACAGTAATTCACAAAACGTATCATATGCCATCGTATATTACGTATTTAAAAATAAATATGGAAATATGGAAATATGAGATGTGTATAAGTGTGTAGAAATTTACAGCATTACATTTACACATGATATGCTTGCAATAATAATAGACAGAATATCATGTAATTTGTAATTAGAGTAAGTATGTATTTAAGTTGAAATTATTGCGTGTTGTATTATGTAAGATAATTTGCGAATAAATATATATCCCAGCATAACTTTTATCACACATTATAAAGTATAACAATTTGATGATTATTTATGTACATCCTATTTTCAATTAATAATACAAAATGTATGTTGATTTTATATGACAGTAACATGATTATTATGTAACATATAACAAAATATAAAGTTAAAATTTAAAGTTAAAATTACACGAAAAGATAGAATCGCAGAAGAAATTGAGAATGTATTATACTAACCTTGAATAGAATCGCTATAGCGACGGCAACGCCTTTAGGTGCGCTGCCTACAACAACGACCTTGACACGATGGCCATCCACAAGATGTTCTGCCTGTTTAGTCAGTAAAAAGGTTACCGTATTGCCGGCGACATCAGGTGATTTCCTTCTAGATTCCGTCATATTCGATGCACCGACGTTTTCACTCGCTTTTCGATATAACTAGATAATTTAGATAAACCAAAAACCGCTTGACATCGTGGATGTGTGTTTGATTGACGATTTTCAAAAAATTTTGCGTTCTGTGTATTAAAATTTACATAAGTTAGGAAGCACGTTTGGAAAAGCAGACAGTCGAGAAGATACTTTTGACAGGAGGATAATGAAGTCGACGGCGAATATGTAACAAGTAGCTTTACTGTCGATTTAAAATATATATATATATATATTGGCAAAAAATGAGATATTGCAATATAAGATAGTCAAATTAGTTTTGTATAATAAAACGTGGAAAAATTTTCTTTGCCTTTTGTATCTCGTACGCTTATAATGTACAATATATGTACAAAATGTAAACTTCGAATTATATCTTGTAGCGGGAGATATACGATCCGATTAACACGTTTAATCACACACGAAAGATGCAATCGATAAATTCAATCGCGCCGTACAAAATCAATTATAATCTGGAAAAAATGTTTGTTATATAAAAAGGTAAAAGCTCGAAACAGATGTAGAGACGAATCGCCAATTGCGATGAACGCGCATCGGCCCCGCTATAGTTTTCGTTTTTCAGGGGATAGAAGGTTGTGAAATTGATCGACAGCTGTTCGATTCGCACAGGTGGGATGCGCTGTGTTGCTAAAGAAATACATTCAATTTCCGTTTTACAAGATATTCAAGAAGGGTCTTAGGAATATTATTCTCCATCCTTATAGAGTTTACTAATTCATTTCACCACAGAAATTTTATTTCTTACTTCAATAATCATTCAATTTTCACAATTATTATTTTTCCAAGAAGCTAAAATGTTTAAATAAATCTCATACAAATTTAATGTCAGAGACGTCCGTATGAAACGTATATGTATAAGACGCAACGATCTTACAACGAAGAAACATAAAGCTCTCTTTCTCTCTAATGCAGAAAAAGATTATAGTTTAAATTATCCAATCTTCTTTAGAGCCGCAGCTCAGCCATACACTCGCTTCGCGTGCAACGGAGAATGCATTTTCATCCGCCCTTTCACCTTCCCGCCGTACATCGTTCGGCTTCGTAAATCAAAATTCGATCGAGCAAAAAGGAAACGATAATAAGCTTCGCACGAAACATTGTAGCGGGAGCTGTGCATGTATCGGCACGCGGAGTAATCTTAGAAGAACGCGACTGGTTTAATTTTCCAGGAAGTTGAATTTATATATCGTTTATTACTGCGATCGAATGTACGTACGTACGCGGAAACCGGTCGCCAGGTGCAGCATCGTCTTTATTGATGAAGATGCATTCTAAGACGCGCGCTCTCTTTCTCTTCCTTCCTCTTCCATTGCACAGTTTCCGTCACGAGTATCCGTTCCTCATCCTTCTCTCCTCCTCGGCCGGTCGTCACTCTTCAACGTCGTTCGTCGATTCGCGAAGAATGCCGCATTCGCGCAGTACATTGCGGATGCCATCGGCGCACCGTTGAACCGCTGCCTTTTCTTGATCGTTCAGCTTCTGTCGTACCGTGGCGCATACACCCTCTCGGCCGAGAACACAGGGAACCGACATATATACATCTTTGTCGGTCCCGTGGGAGCAACTCTGCGAACAGAGATTCCTTGAGCTTGTTTCCCTCCTCGCGTTGGGGGATTGACATGCGAATAAGTGCGTTCGTTTAACGTGCGAAGATTCGGTTTGCTTGTCTCGCAGTATCGGAGGAGAATCGATGCAATTCGCGAAGTGATGAGTTAAAGATTTAATAATTCTAATATTTGTATATATCAAAATATATAATTCATATCTTACAATTATTATTAGTAATAAATCTAATATCATAATATAATTTCTATACATGATTATATAATATATAATTTTATTTAATTTACTTTTCTTCATATTAAACTTCTAGTTAATTATTTTACTATATAATTCATATTGCAATTAAAGTAGCGAACAAACTATATTAAATTTTTATGCAATTCTACAACTCTGATTTATTTTCTGAATTAGATCGTTAATTATCTCGGTCTTTTAAAAATCTCAAAATAATGTGATGAAATATCAAATTCTATTTTAATATAGTCAATAATTTTATAATGTTAACTCTTATTTACGTAACGTGTATATGTGTGTCTTACGTGTATGTATGTCGATGTTGGCAATACTACTTTAGTATTTCTGACGATGGCGTCGACGATCTCAGCGGTACAGAAGCCGAGAGCCCAGCAACTCGGCCCTTTCTCGCCCTTCTTCCGATTAAGTTCGGTGTCGCTATAAACACAGTCAACGTTTTATTACTTCCCTAAATTCTCTCGAGAATGTTCCGTGATCTTAGCCACTGACGTTTTATTTACAGCTTCGGATATGTCACGCCACTTCTCGGGATCATCCGCTTCGCCCATTCTTGGGTTTATGTCGCGTATCTTCGTACCCGCCACGTGAATGCTCGACCATATGGAAACTGTGTGAAACGGCAGATGTTGGAGAATTGCCGTTATAACTGTTGGCTTATTTATAACACGGCTAAACTATACATGATTTTTCAACACAATTAATATTTACGATGTGAAAATAAAACGTCCGCGTATTTATAACCTTTGACATAAACATGAAAAGAGTAAAATCATATCGTTCAAAGTGCAAACGCGTCGCAAAAATAACTCTTGTCGATTTATTAAAAATCTCTTGCAAAATTAATCAAGATGTCAAATATACCAGACGTGTCACCCTGTGCGCCGATATTCATGCAACTAATCGACGAGCGCGCTAGTCCCAACTTTTGACTTAATAAATCCTGAAACCTAGAGCTGTCAAGCAAAGTTCCCGTGCCAAGTACTCTGCTTGAAGGAAATTTGGATAACTTCCAAGTGATGTACGACATCACGTCGATCGGTTGAGTTACGACGAGTAATACCGCCTTACAGGCCAACTTCGCAATAGTAGGAACGATCTTCTTAAACACTTCGACGTTGTGCTTTACATTCAGCTCCTCGCCAGGCTTTCTTTCGCAAACCGCGATTATCACTACAGTTGAGTCCTTCACTTTGTAGACATCTAAAATATAATTTTATTGATTGTAAATCTTATCACGGAATGTAAATCTTATCAGATTATCGTGGAATTTTTAAATGCAAATACGTTTTATTTTTAGGTATATTTCCTCTCCTGAGAGAATTAAGGCATAAATCGCCCCGAAACCTTTGTAGAAGACTCTTGGATATTTATACAAAAGAAGTCGTAACGGGAAATGACTTCGTTCAGAATCAGATACACGTTTCCGAAGAACCTCTTTTCGAAACTTCTCTTCTTTCATTCAATCACGCAATTATCAGCTCCTCGAAAACGCGTGGAATACAAAACGACTAGAAAGAATAAGAAATTTTCTCTCCTTTCGAGAGAGATTTACCATCGAAAGAGATGCGCCGATAAAGATGGCGAAGAAGACAATCCGGCATGTGGTCGGAAAAATAAAGAGTCTCCGTAGCAACACTTTCACAAAGTGCTTGTAGTAACACGCAGTTGTACCGCGACTATACGAAAGATACATTTACGACGGGGAAAGATGTTGTTACAGATAAACTTGGCAAGCCCGTAAAAAAGTCGTCCCACTTGTTCCAGTAATTGCTACCTCGCACGAGACAAGATCGGAAAGAGCCATTCTGCTATCCGATAGGTATAAATACCGGCAAAGCCGGACGCTGCATTGTACGCAACGCTGAGAAAATTCGAATGAACCGAAAGCACATTTTTGAGGTGAAATGTGCGACAATTTGATGAAACTATTCACGAGATCAAACTTTATCATTCCAGTTACCGAGATTGTCCTTCTGAATTCCCACGAAAAATACTGCGTTTTTACAACTGACTGCTCGTCGGACGAGGTATATAACCGCGTGTTATATACACGTCGGAAACAGAAACAAAATACCGCATCGTGAAGTTTCTCGATCATAGCAGAGATAAATAAGAGTGGACGAAATTTACGAGGGTGTCCGTGAAAAACTCAGGGGAAACGCTCGTCCGGTTTGCCAGTGTGCGAGCACGCGGCGATGTAGATGAGAATCGAGATTAAAGGACAGGTCCGGAGGGAATCCTGGTCCCCGAAATTCTGCCGCTCAACCCGGTATCCATTCCCCTCCTGTGCAAGAGCATCGCGACCCGTTGTTTCTAACCCGCTGCACGTTGACAGGGGTCCGTTGACATGTACAACCTGACGGGTCGTCGCTTAAAATGGGTGTCGATCGGAGCAGGCGATCGTGGCGCAATGGGTGACGCTCGGCAGGCTCATCAGTCCGAACGTATCAATCTAAAATTTCTGGAATTCGTGCTGTCGCGAATAAGGCTGCCTTGCGTTTAACGCGCGGAAGGCCTACATCGTCCCATGGGCGTTTACGATTCGTTGATCCATGACTATGAATAGAGCACGACGACAGGATCATCCAGAGTGTGAATCATGGTGACAACCTTAATACTGGTTTTACTTTGACACGGATAACGCAACAGACGAAGCGTTTTTTTTTTTTGTAAGTATAATGCATGATTAGAAAAAGCAATAAAAAAATACAGCTGGATAGATTTATTGTGCAATTATAATAGTTTTAATTTTTATTTAAATTAAATTTTTAATTTTATAACCAAAAGAATACCTGATGTGCCAATCACCAACGGACATCCTAGAAAGACACCAGCGTGTTGAATGTCTTCAGCTTCGGCAGAAGCCTTGTCCTGATTTTGATCAATCAGACAAACTTCACTCGCTATGCGCTAAAAATCACGCGAAATAAAATAATTAATCAAATGTTGCAAACTAGATGTGTTGTTTCGCATATACTTACTCTCATCAAAATTGCGATGGCACAGGCCATTCCAACTTTTCTTGTACCTACAATCGAAACTTTGACGCGATGCGGATATGCATCACATGGTCCCAGGTTCCCCGTTATTAAAGCGTTCTTCGTGGTTGTTATGATCGGAATTTTATCAAC